TGTGTAGGATATAAGATTGATCCAAGTGATGGAAATGTTCGGTGAGCCAGTATTGCTGGCCGACAATTCAGAAGAGATTCGTTGTTTTTTGCTTCAACGCTTCGTCGTGCCACACACGTGCTTCGCCATTATGCGAAGACTGCCTCTTTGTTCTTACCTTCTTCTACCTTTTCGCTCTTGCGCAAGCGCGCTGATACTCTAGCGCATATCATCATAGTCGGAAACGCACATAGTCGGAACTAACTAAGAATTCGTAAACACAACATACTCTTCCTACACTCGGCCATTCTGCACAATCGTGCGTCCCGCACGACGCCAGCTGTTAGCTTTAACATTACATCTCGCATAATATTGTCGACTTATAATTAACGTCTTATAAGCAAAATTGATTATCTTAACTTAACCTCACGTCTTACAAAAATAATATCATTGACTTATAATTAATGTCTTACAAAAATAATATCATTGGTTTATAATTGGGTGTAAGAAGTTGTCTTCGTCTGAACGCTGTAGGAGTACAGCTCCATAACCGTCTATATTTGCGTCCGTATGTACTTCCGTTTCGTGTCGCGAATGATATATTTTCAGTACTGAATTCTGAGTTAAAATCATCTTCAATTGTATGAACGCGTTTCGAACCTTATCGTCAAAATTATACGATTGATCTTTCCGCAACATGTTGCTCAACGGTTTCGCAATCGTAGAATATGAAGGTATAAACTTTCTGAAGTAACCCGTTAATCCAAGAAAGCTTTGAATATCTTTTAATTCTCTCGACTCTGGAATCTATCACGGTTTTGACTTTCTCTTGGGAAAGGTAAATTTTGCCCCCTTCTACTACATGGCCTAAGAACTCGATTGTTCTTTTCACGAATTGACACTTCTTAAAATTAATTTGTAAACCGTAGTCGCTGTTGTCAATACGATTCGCAATCGTTCCAACGCTTCTTGTTCGTTTGCTGCCGGCACGATCAAGTCATCTACGTAAAGCAACACTATATTTTGTCTAATCAAATCCCAGAAAGCAGCATTAATGTATCTTTGGAAAACCCTCAGCGAATTACATAATCCTTTAGAATCCCTAAAAGGGACTTTCAAGAATTGGTTTTGACCGTTCGGGGTGACAAACGCCGTATTTTCGACTCTCTTTTTCTACGGATACATGAAAAAATCCATTTTTCAGATCTAACGTGCTAAACACACGCGCATCTTCTAATTTATGTAGCAGATCTTCGATTAGTGGTAAGGGATGACCGTCCTTTTCTATGACTCGATTTAACTTCCTATAATCGATACATACACGCGGTGATCCGTCCTTCTTTCTTACAATGACTACTGGACTCGCGTATTCCGATGAACACTTCTCAATAACCCCGTCGTTTAGTCATTATTTGGTTTTCGACTATTTCGCGCTCAGGTGCCGATAATCATCGCGGTTTTTGAAAAATAGGCCTTTCGTTTTTTGGTACGATACACATGCTCACGTCTGTTGTCTTACACTTATTTACTTGGTACTCTTCAACAATCGTCTCTACTTCTTCGCGTACTTTCGGATTCGTCACGTCATCAATATCTAACGGTTGCTTTTCGATCATGTTGATTTGTGTTAACAATTGAGCAGGCGTTTCTCTTCGTAGTTATTCCGTCGTTATTGATGGTCATTTCAAAAAATTATAAACCAGCATTTCTTTTTACGAAAGTCTCGAAAGGCCATTAGAAAAGAAATATACGTATGTTTGAGACACGAGACTTGTGAAGAAAATATGCGAAAAAAAACAAATAATTGCAAAAGCACGTTTTTCACTTATAAAAAGAAAGATATTGATTATATGGAAAAAAATTCGATAAAAAATGTAAGTATTCGAAATATCTATAAAATTAAACCTGGAATATTAAAATTGATTTATTAGTTCACTAGAAAAAAAAATTAAAAACACTGAAAAAGGCATTTTTTTCACTCGCTCTTTGTTCATTGAGATTTAAAAGCAAAGCTTTGAAATTCTCGTAAAATGTAACCCTCGTAATAATGAATAAATCTAGTCTTAAACAAGTCTGAAATCTTCATTAGTTTTTGCAAAAAGCCATTTGTTCACTAAAAACCTGTCTCCGAAAAACTTAATTTCTTCATCTTTGAGCAGTCGCACAGCAATTTATCTATAGAGGTGATTTTTTTTTTCTTCAAGAGTTGCACTATCACTTAATAACAAAATGATTATTTGCAGTTAAACTATTACAAAATGACTTTAAAAAGTGGGTATTTTTCTTTTGTATAAAAAAATGGAATAATTCCGTTAATATGTATCATATCAAATAGCCGTGAAGCATTTGACATCTAACATTTTTTTACGAATTTAAAAAAAAAGGTTACCCTTCGATTACACAGGTCAACATTTGATCTAAAAGGATACTCTGGAAGAGGACTGGTCCCAATAGGTTTTTTGGGTCGCTGATTATGATGAGAGGATTGGTTAAGCTTCATCACATCAGGTTCAAGGTCATTTCAAGGTCAAGTAGAGAGAAAACCTTCGAAAAAATCCAAAAAAATTCATGGGTATGTTTTTGAGGTCCCCGAATCTGAATCCGTAGTTCGTTTGAACCCACAACCCCTCCTAGAAGTCATTCAAGGTCATTCGTACTAAATTTGTAGGTCAAGTAGAGAAATAACCGTCTGAGAAATCTGAAAAAATGAATGGGTATGTTTTTGAGGTCCCCAAATCCGAATCCGTAGTTCGTTTGAACCCACAACCCCTCCTAGAAGTCATTCAAGGTCATTCGTACTAAATTTGTAGGTCAAGTAGAGAAATAACCGTCTGAGAAATCTGAAAAAATGAATGGGTATGTTTTTGAGGTCCCCAAATCCGAATCCGTAGTTCGTTTGAACCCACGACCCCTCCTAGAGGTCATTCAAGGTCGGTTTTAAGTCAATTCAGTTCCAGTCAGTCAATGGCAGAAACTATAATCCGACCAGTTAAGGCAAGACATAAACTCCCATTAAACCCCGGCTAGTTAAAGCAAGGAATTGTTACCCGGCCAGTTATAGCAAGACGTAAATTCCGGCTAGTTAAAGCGAGGAGTTGGAATCCAGCCAATAAAGGCAAGGCTCACTCTTATTGTGAACGCTAACGTTTTTGGTGGAATGATCTTCGAATTCCTTTTCTTTTATGACTTTTTTTTGAGTCTCGCTTTAGACTCCAGCACTAGTCTGCCAGCATATTTATTCCCCAAACACCTTGATATCTCTTTTCGAATTCATTCAAGTCCTGGTGCATTCTTTCTCCTTGTTCTTCACTAAAAGCTCCCAGATTTTCTGGGAACCAATCGAG